TTTTTTTTTACTTTGTAATGAAATTCTAGTCTATTATATAATATAATATAATATATATATTTAAAAGAATATGAAGTATATTTATTTATTATATTAATCAAAAATATAAATATTTAATTATAATTGAAAAAAATAATCCTGAAAATATATATAAACAAACTAATTTTTAATTATTTTCTTATTGTAAATCTTTAATTTATTTTTTAAATAGGGCCTCATCAATCATAAAAAATTACTTATTGGAGGTACTTTCTTTTATAATTTATTTTTAACTATCTTCATTTAATTCCATTTTAGCTTATAAATCATTAATAAGAATATTTTTTTATTTTAAATTATTTTATAATTATTCAATTTATTTATTTTATTCTAAAACAATATTTTAAAAGTACTAATTTTTTATTTAAATTTACTCATTTAAAGCTTATTAAATACTATATTTATTAACTAAATCAGTATTTGAGTGCTACAATGAATTTTTGAGAATATCAAGTAGTAAAATATCATCTATATTATAATAATTATGTCCTTATAATTAAAATAATTAATCATTAATTTTTTCTTTTAAAAAATTATATTTAGATTAATAATCTAATTATTAAATTTTTTAATATTAAGTATTTATTTAATCTAAATCTTATTTTAATTATTTATTCTATGTAATAATTTTATCATATTGATATTTCAAATCATTAAATTAATCCTATAAATTAATTTAACTAAGTTTTAATTTTTATTTTGTCTAATAATCTATTGTTTCTTTTAAAATATACATTGTTAATTTTTTTTTATAATATTAAATGTTAGAAAGTTCAAAAGATAGCATGTTTTCACTTTTTTTTGGTTCTTAATTACTTTATCTTAGTTGTATATTTAATTCTTTTATTTCTTAATATTATATTTATATTTTCTCTTTTAATTATTAAATAGTCTCATTATATAATTAATCTTTTTGCTTATTTTATTCAATTTCCATTTATAGTTTGTAAATTTCCTAATGGCTACTTGGATCGAAATATTTTAAACCTTCTTCTTGTTATTAAACTTGATTTACAATAGTATTTGAAGGTCCAAAGTTGGCAAATTATTCTGTATCGTCTAATGTGCAATTATGTTAACTTAGCTTTGAAAATTATTTTGATTGTATCCGAGGTGATTATTATGATAATATTTTACTTTGATCGAAATCTAATAGATCTATATCATTTACATCATCTTATTATTAACTAATAATTTCATTTTAATCTTCTTCCATTTATAATTTGTAAGTATTTTTTTATAAATATTTTTTTTTTTTATTAAATTTTTAATCTTTATTTATTTTTCGAATACTTAAAATAATTATATATATATATATATATATATATATATATATATATATATATATGTATATATTTAAAAAAAAAAAAAAAAATTTTTTTAAAATCTTATATTATTATAATTTTTTTTTATATAAAAAATAAAAATTAATATATATAGTGATATATTTTATATTATAATAATAATTTTTATTTTTATTATTATTATTATTATTTTTAATAAAAATAAACATAAAAAAACATTTTAAAAAATATATATATATATATATATATATATGGAAATATAAACAAACAAAATAAAAGAAATTAATATTATCAACAACGAACCTTAAAACATCTAAAATATATCAAAATAATATATAAAAGATCTTAAAAGTGAATCTAGTTTAAAATAATCAATTGAATTTATTAAATAAAAATTATATAATAATCCTAATAAATAGCTCATTATTTTTGATGTTGATTCTTCATTTTAAAAAAACATAAAAAAAACTTTTTAGAAGAATCTGAAAATGATAATACATCTAAAGCTACATGTGATACTATAAAAACTTAAAAGAAAAATAAATAAAGCTTTTCTCCTAAGCAATGTATTTTTTAATATAAATAAATAATTATTTATATATGAAAAAAAAAAATCACTATAATAAAAAGGTAATTAAACGAATATTGTATTTGAATTAAACATACAAGAAAAAAAAGAGTTAAAAAATATTTAATTTATTGATATTTGGAATGAGTTCAAATAAATCTATATACAATAAAGACCTGATAATGTAAAGTAAAATAAATACTTTAAATGTATATTTTAGTGTTTTTAGAGATAAGCACTTTCTAAGTAAATAAATGACGAAAAAGAATTAATTAATTATATATATAATGTAAAAAAGGGGGAGAATATGCAGAGTTTGAAAGAACTTTATTTATTGACCAATTTAAAAACAAATGAAATATTATAATATGATGATTATGTTGAAGATTTAGACATTTTTTCGAATTTATAAATAATTGCATTTTATGACTTTTATTAAAGTTTGTTTTTTTATTTAATTGAATATTACAAATAAATAAATATTTCTAATAAAAGAAATTTAAAAAAAGTTTTTAATATTTTGACATAATAAATTATATATATAATGTAAAATAAAATATTAGATGATTTTGCAAAAAAATAAAGATCATATATAAATGCAGTTAATAATTTAGTTTTTTCACTAATTTTTTGCTTATTTTAAGAATGTGCAAGAAATGAAAATAATTTTGAAGAAAAAAATTAAGATTAAATAATTTTGAAATTAATAAAATAAGTGAATTAAAAACCAGAATCTATTACTAACTATTTTTCAAATCGAATTGAAAGCTTTTAAATAGATAAAAATTTTTACAAATATATTTGAAAAATGTTAATTTTATAAGAATATAATTTTATTTTAATAATTAATATTATCATAGTCATAATTAAATTTATTTATTAATATATATATTTAATTATATAAATAATTTGTAAAAAAGTAATTAATTAATATTAATATAAAAATATAAATATATAACTATTTTTTTAAAAAGAATATATATTGATACATATTTATTTATTTATATATATATATATATATTTATATATATAATTTTTGTATTAATTCTTTTTAATTTTTATTTTATATAATATTTTTATATTATTTTATTTTATTTTATATTATTTGTTTTTTATTTTATATTTTTAAATTTATTTCTTATTATTGTATATTATTTTAATAAAAATTTTATACTAAAGTTTAAATATATTTTAATTTAAAATATTTATAATTTATATAATTTTTGAATTATAAATATTTAGAATTTTGTATTAAATAGTATAAGAAAAAATATTTAAGAATTTTTTTTTATTATGATAGTATTATTTTTAATTGAATTTTTTATTTTCATCTAAATTTTAATACTATTATAATTTAAATATCCTAATATTTTTTAAAGGATTTTTTTTATATTTCTTTATTTAATTTATTTCTTATTTATCTGAAATTCATTATATAATTATAATTATTATATATCTTAATTTTTTTTATAAATAAATATATTTTTTTATTTTATTATATTAAAGGTATTAATACTTTGATATTACCTTTTTTATCTTCTACATATTTTAATATATATGAAATTGTTTATAGATAGAAATCAAAATTCAGCTTTGAATAGTTTTAGGTCTATCATATATATACTTATATTTATATATTTTGTATTTCTAATATTAAATGTAATAAAAAACTAAATATTTATATATATTAAAATTATTTTATTTTATTTTCTAGACTTTTATTTTATTACTTTGATTTATTAAAAAAATATATAATACATATGAATTATCTATATATTATAATTTTTTTATTTTTTATTTATATTATTTTTGATGAAATTAATATTAATTTATATCAGTAATTTTTAATAAATTATTATTATAATTATTCGATAATTAAAATAAATAAATAATTATTTTTAAAAAATCATCGAAATCCTCAAAATAAATGCAAATAGCGAAAATTTTGAAAGCTATTTAAATAGAAAAATATAAATTAATTTATAAATAAATTACCTACAAAAATTAATTATCATTCGCATAATTTAGAAGATAACACAAAATAAAAATTTAGAAAAAATTATGTAAATTTCTAAAATGGAATAATTAATTTAAGATAATGAAAAAGAAAATTTAAGTATAATTTTTTTTTTTGATTTAAATATATTGATCAATTTAATTTTTAAAATAAATAAAATCATTTCAAAAAATTATTATAAAATATTAATAATTAAAACAATTAAAAATTTAATTGTAAAAAAAATATAATAGAAACATATAAACTTTTAAAAGTGATTAATTAAATATATTATTTATAGTATTTAAGTTAATTTTTTTTTAATAATGAAAAAAAAAAATTAATCTATAAATTAATATAAACATTAATGAGATAATTAAAGTTATAATAAATATAAAAAATAAATTTGTAAATTAAATTATTTTTCTTTATTTTTAAAAAATAAAATAATTTTTTTATATAATAATTCTTTTATTAGATAATTTTTAGATAATTATTAAATTACAAAAATTTTTTAAGAAAAATCTTATAAATAAAAATTAAAATCTTTAAATAAAATAAAATTAAATAAATATTATTAAATAACTTATATTTTATATATAATAGTATAATTTATAATTAGAACTAATTTTGAGAATAATTATAAATTTCTTATATGAGTAAACATCTTTTATTATATATCTAATAAAAATTAGTCATATATTAAATTTCCACTATAAATTTATATTTAGAAATTAAATTATTTATTTTAAAATTATATCTAAATAA